ATAGTTACCCTCCTCTAGTGTTTGCTTACAATACGTGAAGTTTTTCTTGCTATTTCAATAACAGATGGTGCTGCTAATTCCCAACATTTCCTAAATTATTTTATATCATACAGTTTTCATTGATTATTCAAGTATCTCCATCTAATAAATCAGTGAACTGTTGCTCTTTATGTTGCTGGCGTTTTGTTGGTGACTTTTTTTTCTTTCAATATGGGGCTGCTTTGTGTAGCCTTGGCTGTCCTGGAACTAGCTCTGTAGACCAGGCTGGCCTCAAACTCACAGAGATCCACCTGCCTCTGCCTCCCAGTGGTAAGATTAAATGTGTGCAACACCACTGCCTGGCTTGTTGGTAATACTTTATGGTAGGTACTAACAGTTGTGTACATATAATACTCATTTTTTTTTTTTTTGTACTCTGGGTTCTTATTTTAATATAGCTCACATAGAAACAAACTAAATATCTAACAGTATAATTCAGTAATAGCTGTGTTTGGTAAAACTCTGTCCCCTTTTTTTGGTAATACATAAAACCTAAAGGGAAATACTAAAGTACCAAATGTGTAGTGTATGTGTAATTGTACTCTTAAACTGTTAATTTGGAACAAGAAGCCTCATCGAGGTTTGGGGATGTGGCTGAGCTGATAAGAGTGCTTCTTGATTCATGCATATGAAGTCCTGGGTTTGACCCCAGAAATGCATAAATCAGGTATTTTGGCATATGCCTGTAATCCTTGCACTCAGGAGGTAGGAGGATGATCAGGGGATCAAAGTCATCTTCAGCTGCAAAGTTTTAGGACAACCTGAGATAAATGAGACAGCCTCAAAACAATAATGGATAAAACAAAACCAGAGAGATAAATGTGAGTCAGGAATTGTGACTAGAAAAGGTAAAAGGATCAAGTGTTTAATGTGGTTGAGTGTTTGCTTATCAAGTGCAAGGCCCTGTATTTTAAAAACATGATGATTTGCCTGCATGTAAGTGTGTACACCATATATAAGTTTAGTGTCCATGGAGGCCAGAATAATATGTTAGATTTCTTGGAACTGAAGTTACAAGTTGTGAGCCACCATGTGAGTGCTGGGAACTAAATCAAAGTCCTCTGGAAGAGCAGCCAGTGCTCTTAACTGCTGAGCCATTTCTTCAGCCACAAGACTGCATTTGATACTAACTCTAGCAAAGTGAAGGTTGACTTTGATATGCTGTTTATTACATTAGGATACTGTCTCGTGGGGGTAGCTCTGTTGAAATACTGAAAACTTTTAGGAGATGGGGCTCCTTTGGGAATGCTTCTAAATAGAGTTTTAGGACCATCTTGATATTGGCATGCTAATTGTACATATTAGTTGGTCTCACTGACACGTCTCTTCATTCATGTACCTAGCATTGTTTAGGTCTACTTTTCGCCTGTCTTCATATCTGCAACTATCCAGTCCTGAATATTCCCTGAGTTAATTTCTTTTGGTTGTCTGAACTTGGATCTGTAGGTTTGCATCCTTTACCAAATTTAGGAATCTTTTAGCTGTTACCAACTTTTTCTAGCACCACATTCTTGTGTTTTAATTTCACTTCACTTTCTTCGATATATCATTATATTCTTTCAGTCCTAATATTTTCATTTCTTTCTCATTCATTTACTCTTTTTGTTTTTTTGGAGACAGTTTTTGTATGTCGGCCAGACTCAGACTTGCTGCCAACTTGCCTCAGCCTCTGGCATGCTGGATTTTAGCCATGCTCTACCACAACAGGTGGGGACTTTAGGTTTGTGATCTGTAGTCATTTGAGGGGTAATCTAACATGCTAATCTGACAAATACTCAGCTAGTAATTTATTAAAATAATACATGGTAATAATCAGAACAAAGACCTAATTCTCTTCCTCTCAAAATGAACTTCATAGTTGTGGTTGAAATATCTGGGTGTGGCGTAATGCTTGCCTGTAGTCTTAACATCTGGGTTGTGAGACAAGAGATTAGGAGTTCAGGTTCATCCTCAGCTATTATTGAAGTCATCAGTCTCACTGGGACCAACCAAAGTCAGATGCCGTCTCATAGAACAATACTAATGAATGAATACATCTGAAACTGGTGACGAAAGCAAATACTAAAGTAAGCGAATTGTGTCTAGCCTGGGGATTTCCTTTCCTTTCCCCCCCCCTTCTATTTTTTGAGGTAGATTGTACAGACTGGTTTTAAATGCATTATGTAGCCTAATATGGCATCGGATTTCAGTCATGCATCAACCTGAGCCCAGTGAGTACAGGTGTGAGCCTCTAAGGCTAATCTATGATGTTTGTTTAATGAGAGTTGAGTCTTATGTGGCCCAGTCTGGCCTTCAGCCTGCACAACCCAGCATTCAACCCCAGCCTCTCCACCACTAGCCACCTACCCTGTAACTCTGTTCCCATCTCTGGCTGTTCATCTCCAATTCCTCTCCACCTGTAGAACTTTTCAACCACCCTCTCCCCTATCATGCTCACACTCTCACATTCCCTTAAGAATTATAGGGCAGACCTGGGAACACCTAAAAATGATAGTGTTCATTTGGAAAACATCCTTTTCAGGATGGCCATTGGGGACCTTGGCACCATCTAAGTTCAAGTCCTCTTTGTGTCTGCTGGGAGCACGTGTGTTTGCGTGTGTGTGTGTGTGTGTATGTATGTATGTATGTATGTATGTATAAGAGGCTGTCTTGAATCCCCTATGTAGTGAAGGTTGGCCTTGGACATCTGATTCCCTTGCCTTTTCCTTCTGAGTATAATGACAGGAGATCTTTAAAATTTCTTTTAAATCACTATTTGTGGGGGTGAGGTGGGGTGGGTGTGGGTAGGAGTGCTTTCATGTCATGGCACATGTGTGGGGGGTCAGAGGACAACTTGTTCTCATCTTCCATGTGAGTCCTGGGATTGAACTCAGGTTGTCAGGCGTGGCAGTAGGGACCTTTACCTTCCAGTCGTCTTGCAGGCCCTGAGAGGATTTTTGACCCTCAAGGGTTAAACTAGAGGAACTGAACCAGCTTCTTACATGGTTACAGCAACTTCATATTCCCTGCCTATCTCAGGAAACCCTAAAGTCCCATCTAGAAACTACTTGCTCAGTCTGAGAACAACACAAAAAACAAACAAAACAAGACAAAAACCTTTCTACTACCATTGTGGTCAACTAAGACATTTAAGACACGAGTGTTCATGGCCCCTGTGTGCTCCCTCTGGGTTCGTCAAAACTGCAATTGGAAGCAGACAGAAGTGGCGTTCTCATTCACCCCTCCCTCCCCACCTCCTGCTTTGGTTTCTTATGAAGAGCTCAATAAGGAAAAAAGTCATCATTTGAGAATGATAGTCATTTGAGGGTTTCTCAATTGAGAAAATGGCTCCATAAGATTGTCTGGCACTGGGTGGTGGCGGTGGATGCCTTTAATCCTAGCACTTGGAAGGCAGAGGCAGGTAAGCCAAGGTTACATAAAGAAACCCTGTCTTGAAAATACACAGACATGGGCTGGAGAGATGGCTCAGAGGTTAAGAGTATTGACTGGTCTTCCAGAGGTCCTGAGTTCAATACCCAGCAATCACATGGTGGCTCACAACCATCTGTAATGAGATCTGGCATCCTCTCCTGGCCTGTAGGCATGCATGCAAGCAGAATTCCATATACATATAATAAATAAATCTTTTTTAAAAAAATGGGCTGGAGAAAAGAACACTAGCTGTTCTTCAAGAGGTACAAACCAAGAGCTCTGGTGCCCTCTTCTGGCTGGCATACATGGAGTCAGAATGTTGTATACATAATAAACCTTTAAAAAAATACACAAACTAAGTTCTGCCTATTTGGCAAGCCTAATGTGGATTGATGGGGAGTACACAGTCCATTGTGGGTGGTGCCACCCGAGCTGATTGTCGGGGTTTCTATAAAAAAGCATGCCGAGGAAGAGACGAGTAGCAAATCAGTAAAGCACTATACTTCATAGCCTCTGAACCAGCTCGTGCTTCAAAATTTCTGCCACGTTTGAGTTCCTGCCTAGTCTTCTCTCAGTGAAGGGATCAAATAAAACCTTTCCTCCTCCTTAGTTGTTTTTCGGTCCTTTTGTTCCATCATAGCGATAGCAACCGTAACTAAACACACCCACTCCCCCCCCCCACACACACACACAACATCACCACCACCACCACCAACAAAAACATAGATTTAGGCACAGGGTTAATACGTCCTAAGGGGAAAGGCAAAGCACAGGTACCAGTCGAGTGTGGGTTTCCCAAGTTGAGAGTTCCCCAGTCTATGGCTTGTTGAGACTCCAGGGACCTTTAAGATGTTCCCAATGCCCATTTTTTTTTTTTTTTTTTTTTTTTTTTTTTGCAAAGCCCCAGACATTCTTCTTAGAATCTCTATGGATTCCTGTATGGGCCAACAGATACCTCCAAAGTCTGAGGCCTCTCCATTTCCAGATGTTCACTAACATCCATTCCTATGACACTAACCGTTAAGGAAGTCAACAAAATTTCTTAGAGGTCCCTTATTCAGACACCTACTAGGTGGCGGGGCTGACCACAGACCCACCAGCATAGACTCCCGGAAGGTAAACACATCTCCGCAGGCGGGGCAGAGGGCGGGCTAGGGCAGTCTGAGTGGCCAGGTAAAAGTGATTGGCAGCTGCCACGTCCACGTGCTTTTAGCTTCGAATCAGCTGTCGCGAGAATTCGATGTAAACACAGCAGCCTCCCTGGCCTCGGGCTCCGCACCAAAGACTCCAGTCTGAGATCTGCAGGTGTTTCGCGCAGGTGACGTTTTCTTAAAGCAGAAAAGCCACCAAGGCGCCTCTTCCAGGCCCGCAGACACGCCTGCCTTTTCTCCCCTGCCGCCTGCATTCGCAACCGAACCTGACCCGCCCGCTTCACCCGAACTTCCATACTGTTGTGTTTTCCCTCCAGCCCCAGCGGATTGGATGGATTCTGAAGGCGGGTCCGCCTCTTTCCTACTTGCTGGTTGGCGAAGCTGACCTCCAAGGGCGGTGCCGCTCCGGGGCCAGTTTGCTCCTGGGATTGGCTGGTGCGGTGGTTCCGTCGAGGCGTGGTAGGAAGTGGTAGCCGTCAATCACGAGGGAGACTCCAAACAGTGAGCCTGGAGCTGTAGAACAGCGTTTACCGGCGGAGCGGCCGGTGAGAAGGCTGGCTGGTCCTTGGTCTGGGGGAGGCTTGGAGAGGAAAAGGGACAGGCAGCATGAGGGGACAGGGCTTGGGCAGCTCCAGTTGACGGGGGGGAAAAGGTGTTGAAATTGGAGGAGAGCCGGGCAAGAGGCCAGAGGGCGGCCGGGGGCAGTGGTGGCTGGCTTTGGAGGTGAAGTGGGGAGTGCTGCTCCCTTGGTTTGGGGGAGAGTGGGGCCTGAGAGACTTTTGAGGAGCTGTCCTCAGGTGACAAGGCCCTTAAAGGACAGAAGCGGGGAGACTGATTCGGATAAGAAGGGTGGAATGGAAATGGGAGCGCTGAGGGGGTCTGCTGAAGGCTACTGCCTGAGAAAGGGATAGCTGGACTGGTTGGGACAAGGGTGTTTGGTTGTATAGGAGTGTGGGTTTCATCAGTTTGGGAGTTTTCTTAGGAGATGGTGGAGTGCACCCTACTTAAAAGTGATGCTTTTAGGCTCTTCCCAATTTACCTCCAGGCTGTGGGCTTTTTCACACCTTGTAAGAAATCTTTAGTCCTGCAGGCAGTCCCCTTTTAACCTTAATCGGATCGACTCTATGCTCTTAAAACTACCTCAGTGATGGGGAAGCTCGTTAGATAGTGACCAGGACATACTTAAACTGTGGGAAAAGCCAAGGGGCTGCTTACATCATAGGGGTTTATACGTATTTGTTTACACGCTGGCGACTCTGTCACCATAGTTGGAGGTTAAAAATATTATTTAAATGTGGTCACACAGTTTTACATATTGGTCCTCAGCAGGTTTATTTGAAGGCAGAGTGATATGTCATTTCCTTTTGGTCTTTGTCTCACATGGGCCTTCTATCCTTTATATCAGTGGCAGTGTAGCTAAGGTTGACTTTGGCCTCCTGATTTTCCTGCCTCCACCTTTCAGGTGCTGGGATGGTAGGCATGGATCAGCCCCCACCCCTTGCCACCTCCGGCTAATTTTTTGTCTTTAAGACAAAGTCATACTAAGTACCTCAGGCTTGTGTTCCCTTCCACCGCATGACAATTTCCTTGCCTCAGACTGCTGGGTGCTGGTTACTGATGTGTTCTGCCACACTGGGTTCTGTATTTGTTTTTATAAGTGGTCCTGTGTTAGAGTTTCCATTTAGTTTTTATTTCCTTTCTACTTTTATGTTAACAGTAGACCAAAGTTCCAGCAAACGAGTGAACTGTTCTTTGAGTTTCAGATGTTAGGCAGTTCAAGGTTAGTCTCCATTACAGAATGAGACCCTATCTTAGAAAAAGAAAAGAATTATTCTGGGTGTGGTGACACACACCTTTAATCCCAGTTCTATGGCATGCACGTCTCTGGTAGTTTTAGGCCAGCTACAGCTTAGTAGTGAGTTTCTAGGAAAATTGTCACAGTTTGCAAAAGGGATCTTTAGTGAATAATCACAGAACTCTCCCTTCTAACACTAATGGTATATTTTACCTTCTATTCTGGAAACAGGTCTTATGAATGACACAATGGCTACAGACTCTCCTAGAAGACCCAGTCGCTGTACTGGTGGAGTTGTGGTTCGCCCTCAGGCTGTCACGTAAGCACCTTTTAGAAAAGAGTCCTGCAACTGAAGAAAACATTAATATTATTTGGTTTTTCGAGACATGTTTTCTCTGTGTCGCCCTGGCTGCTCAGGAACTATGTAGACTAGGCTGGCCTTGAACTAACCGAGACCCACCTGCCTCTGCCTCCCAAATGCTGGGATTAAAGGTGTGCACCATCACCTGGCTAAAGAAAGGATTCTTTTATGTAGTCCTGGCTGACTTGGCACTAGTTCAGGTTGTTCTTGAACTAGTAGCAATACACCCTTAGCCATCCAAGTGCCAGGATCACAGGCAAGTACAGTGACATCTTGTTTTTTTTTGTTTGTTTTGTGGTTTTCAAAACAGGGTCTCACTATGTAGCTCTGATAGTCCTGGATCCCACTGTGCAGACCAGGCTGGCAGAGGTCTGCCAGTTTCTGCCTCCCAAATGCTGGAATTAAGGGCAAGTGCCATTGTGCTCCTCTGGCTTTTATTTTTTTAATTGTTTCACTATGTCGTTCACACTGTCTTCATTCACAATAGTCATCTTTCCTCTGCATTCATAGTGCTGGAATTACAAATGCAGGTCATATCTCAGGTGTTTTAAAATTCTTAGTGTGGGACAGTGGCTTAGACCTGTAATCCCCAGACTTGGGAGACTGACGCAGGAGGATAGTGAGTTCAAGGGCAGGTTGGTCTAGATAGTGTTCCAGGCTAGGCTGTGGTACATAGGAAGATAATGCCTCAAAAAAAAAAAAAATGCTTGGAGGGAATAATAGTTTAGATTGTTTCCTTTAGGTGGTTTATAAAAGACAGTTCTCTCAGACTAAAAAAGGTATATGTAGGCAGTGATATCATAATACTGCCTTTCCTCCGCCTGTATTCTCTAGAGCTGAATTTCTTTGTGATATTTGCTGTGGCATTAAGTTAAACATGTTATTAGCTGTGAGTTAGGTTACTATTTTAATCTTCCTTTATAGGTGAGGAAAACAAAGTAGAGGAGAAAGCTTGTCATTCTGAACAGCCAGGATGGGGAGCCTGCAGGGAGCTCAGTTAGTGTGGGTCTTCGGGGGCTGTGTTCTCATCTACTGTTCACTGCTCCCCCACCACATGGTGCTCAAACCACAGTAATGATTTTTGTTACACACGTGATTTTAGGGTTAGGAAAAATAACCTCAGGCACAGCATTCTGCCTTCTTTGACAAACAGTGCTAGAGCACCACGTTTCCACTTGTACTGGGAGCAGGTTCTGGATGTAGAAGGTGAAGATGAGAGATGGGGAAACAGATGAGGATGCCGGCTGAGCCTTGCCAGAGGATGGAAGGGAGTGTATGGGTAAGGGTGTCCAGAGGAAGCAGCACTGAAGCTGGAAATGTGGGGAGGAAGAAACAGTAGAAGAAAGTGAGCTGAGCGAAGGACCTTGTAAGGTCTTGAGTCAGGGCAGAGTCAGGGATCGAAGCTGCCTGTGGCCCAGGAAGAGTATAGCAGTGATGAAAAACAAGTCTGGCAAAGCTGGGTCAGTGATTGTGTTTTTTTCTTGCTCTACTGTTGTAGGTCTCTAAGGCATTTTGTTTGTTTTTGAAGGATTTAGGAAAACTCTTAATCTTTTCTTTTGAGGTCGCTTCTTATGTCCATGCTCGTTCATGCAGTGCTGGGGATGGAATCTAGGACTTGGTACATGCCAGTCAAGCATTCTGCCACTTAAGCTACATACATGCCCAGCATTTTTTCCCCCACACTTTGGTTCTTTGAAACAGGATCTCACTATGTAGATGAGACTGGCCTCACACTCACAGCTATCCTTTAGCACCGGGGTTATAGGTATAACCCATTACAATCATTAGTTACATTTTCTCTAGTGACAATTGTTCACATCTTTCAGAAATTGTTAGTATTTTGAAGAAATCGTTTTTCTCCACTTACTGACATCTGTATGCCGGCTGTTTCAACTATCTTCAGGGCTGGGGCTATCATTCAGTGGTAGGCTGTTGTCTACATCCCCAGGGCTACATAAACAAAAACAAAATGTCATTGTTTGACATCGTTAACTGTATTACTTTTCTATCTTGTGGTGCTAGAAATTGAATCTGAGGTTTCATACATGCTAGGGAAGTGCTCTATCATTGAGCTATTTCCCCAGTCCCCTTTCCGAACTATTATAACTTATGCTATGCTTGCTTCTTTTAGTTTTTTTTTTCTTTTTGTGACAGGTTTCTCTGTGTAGCTCTGGCTGTTCTGTAACTCTGTAGTCCAGGCTGGCCTTGAACTCGTAGAGATCCACCTGCCTCTGCCTCCCAACTGCTGGGATTAAAGGATTGCGCCACCTCTGCTATCTTGTTTTAGGTTTTTTTTTTTTTTTTTTGAAGATAATCCAAATTTTTTTCTTTCTTTACATATCGATCCCAACCCCCCCCCCCCCACTCCACATGTAGGGTGATGCCTTCCAGGAGGGGTCATCTAAATTTGCCTTGTATTAGTTTTTGATACAAGGTCCAGTTACATAGGCCAGGCTAGCCTGGAACCCATGATCTTCTTGTTTCAGCTTTCCAAGTGCTAGGGTTACAGTGTGTGTCATCACACTCAGACTTCTTTTGTACTGCCCTACTCTTTTTGTGACAGGGTTACGCTATCTTGGAACTAGCCAAGTAGGCTAGGGTGGCTGATAAGTGAACTCCACAGAGATCCTTCTGTGTCTTCCTCCCTAGTCTGGGATTATATACATGCACCACCTGCCCGCCTTTTTTTTTTTTAAATATGGGTCTGAGGATTGAACAGGTCCAAGCACAGCCTACTAAGCCATCTCCTCAGCACTGAGCATTTGTTCTAATGCCTGCATAAGTAGGAAAATGCATTTACTTTGTTACACAGAGTTAAGGGACAAGGTTGGTAAAGAGACTATCAGGAAATTCTGAGTCACCAGCAACAATTCTCTTTCTTAAGCTAGGGCGTTATAGTCCAGTCCTACCTTAGGACTGCTGCCATCAGTCCTGCAAAGTTTCCTTTATTTAATTAGGAGAGCGGGGCTTTAGGGGAGATGCGTTTTCTAACATAGAATCTGCAGCAGATAGAATGACAATGCAGACTCATGAAACCAGAAAATGGGAAAGTAGTCTCACCAGAGTTGGCCTGTTTTTCTTACCTCTTGTCTTACTGGGATAGCGAATTTGTTAGGCCTTGTGGGTCGTGCTTTTCTCTGTTCTGTCTTAAGCTGTCTGAAAGCTTTTTCCATCTGTCCTTTTCCAGGGAGCAGTCCTACATGGAGAGTGTCGTGACTTTTCTGCAGGATGTTGTGCCGCAGGTAAGCATGTGTGAGTACAGAAATGGTCGCTTTGCCTTTGGGTCAGGAAGCATTGGGATTTTGTTTCCTGAACTTGACTGGGTAGTTTCAGAAAGTCTCGTTTTGGCATGCTGGGGGTCGGTAGGGCAGAGCTGTGCTTGTGGCTGTGAGATGTGGGTCACTTTTGTGATGACAGGGGCTCTTCATTCCCTTAGGACCTGCTTTCCTTAGTGGAATCCAGGGGTACTCTCTAGTTGGGATCTTCCCAGAATTTTTTTTTTTTTTTTTTTTTTTTTTTATCTAAGGTCTAGGGCTTGAGATGTATGTAGCTTAGTGATAGACCATTTTCCAAGCATACACGAAGCCCTGGGTTTTATCCCTAGCCCCACATACTTTTATACCCATATGTTACTCCTGCAGAGAAGCCTGGGTGAAATGGGAAAGGCACTATATACTACATATTAACTAGGTAGTAATTTTATGTATATGCTTATATTTAGCCCAAATTGTCATCTCTTTGCTTTTGAGAAGTGGTGTTTTGCTTTTTGTATAGCAAGTATGCCCTTTTGCCCTGATTTGTCAGAGATGAAGGCCCTTACTGTTTCTGTTTCTTTAAATGTGATGCTCTTTGTTTTGGTTTTTCAAGACAGGGTTTCGATGTGTAGCTTTGGAGCCTGTACTGGAACTCATTTTGTAGATCAGGCTGGCCTTAAACTCACAGAGATCCACCTGCTTCTGCCTCCCGAGTGCTGGGATTAAAGGCTTGCACCATCATTGCCTGGCATGATGCTCTTTTTTAAGAGAGCAAGCAGCTTTCCAGAAAACAGCTAGTGCATTACTGTTCACATTTATTTAATTCAAATATTATTTGGCTTCTTATTAAACATAGTAGTAATTTCCAAGCCTATCTCTCAGAGAGTGTTAGAATCCACCTTCTGTGTCTATAGCAAGGCTCTTATGTTAGATTCCAGCTCCTGTGTCTGTAGCAAGGCTCTCTGGGGTTTGCTTGTGGGGGCATGGATGGGCAAGCGTTGTTCTGGTGGGATCACTGAAGGGCAAGCTTACTTATTTTATCCGTGTGGTGTCATCACTTGAGCTGTTTGGAGAGGAGTTTTCATGGACCCATATGCCAGTTATATGAGCAGAACCCCAGAAAGATTCAAGGTCTAAATTCTTAGTTGTGTTTGGCAAAATGTATTCTTCAAGTAAGGAATGTTGATACTGCTTTATTATATACAGTCAGATTGAATGAAAACAGGCGACAGCATTGAGGTCTGTGGTGCACATGAGGAAAAATGCTCCCCTTTCTTGAGGCACTTGATTAATAAGTCAAAACGCTTGAAACAAGCAAAGATTATTTATAGCAACAATCAGCACTGTAGCCGTGTAGCACACCAAATAATTGATTTGTGAGGGGTTGCAGAGAGAAGGGAGAGACTTCGGAAGCATCGCTAGTGGAGACGAAGGGAACAGGGCAGCTGGTCAGGATGGCAGCAGGGGAGGAGCTAATGTCTATGTTGGCCAGGCTGAGTGAACAGTGGGCCCCTGAACTCCAACTTGCTCTAACTTTAAGCCCTGAGCTTTGGCATGAGGCTGCAATGCAGTGGAAAGGTGATTTTTTAAAAAAATTTTACTTTTGTATTTTGTTTGCTGCTTCCCCAGAGCATATTCGTTAAATGTTATATAGGCATTTTTGGTATAGCCAGGAACCCTCTGTAACAGTTAAGGAGGTAGTTTTATTATTTTTTGGCTGGAGGAGAAGGGCTGTGGTCAGAAACTTCGAGAGTTCTTCCCTCACATAAAGGGTTAGAGTGGGACAGGAGCAGGGAAAATTGGAAGCGAAGACCAATGGGGGGAAAATTCTATTTTTTCTGAACATAATATGTCAGGAACCAGCTATGGAAATGGTACAGAGCAGGTACTATGGAAATAAACTTTGAGGCATTGATCTAGGAATTAGAATATCCACCCAGAAATTCCTATGTTGTTTGTTTTCTGAGTTGATGGTGACACTTTAACGGATAGCATTTACCTGGGTTCTGTGCATGTGTCAGGTCCTGAGCTGAGCTGATGGGAGCCTCGGGGTCTGCTGTGCAGCTTTGCAGACCTCTTCCACAGAGCTCAGGTCTTCTTTCCAGCCACACAGCACACTCTGTAAAGGAGTGGGTATGGCTGTTGCTTCAGTAAAACTTGATTTGTCAACACAGGTCTCCGTATAATTAAGACCCAGCTAAAATATGTGGCCAAATATAAACACTACAGTAAAAGTATAAAGTACCCTGCTGTTCCATTGTTACATAAAAGGGAGAGAAATCAGTTTATCTGGGGCTGGAGCTGGGTGTGATTCACTCAGCCTTTAGTTCTTATACTTGGGGAGGCTGAGTCATGATGATTGAGGGTTCTGGGCTAGCCTGGGCTACATTGTGAGAAACAAGCCATCAAACAGAGTTTTCATGAGTCAGATGTCATTTGAACTGAGGAATAAAGGAGAATGTAATGCAGCCTTAGTGAATTTGGGTCAGAAACAGGGACAGTAGGGTTGCGTTAGGTACAGCCTTATATGGGCAGTGGTGACATATGCCTTTAATCCCAGCACTTGGTAGGCAGAACCAGGAGGATCTCTGTGAGTTTGAGGACAGCCTAGCCTACAGTGTGAGTTCTAGGACAGCGAGAGCTGTTACACGGAGAAACCTTGTTTTGGGAAAGCCTTGATGGTAGATCTGGCTTTACCCTTCAGTGGGACATGTCACTACTAGCTCTAGGTAAGTTATTGCCTCATTCTCTGAACATCAGTATCATTATTTGTAAAACATCTCCGTACTTACTGTGGGTTTTGTCTTAAGGCTTAAAGGAAGCTGTGTATATAGAGCATAGATAGCATAAAGTGAAATACTCAGTCCTTTCTCTTGGAGGGAGCCTCAGGGGACTGAAGATCCAATGCCAGAGATAGATTTATGGCTTTTAATTTAAGTGACTGCAGCAACTGGATGAGCCAAAAAGTATTAGTTTCTTTCTCCCTCTCCTCTCTCACAGCTCTTTCTCCCTTTCTCCTCCCTGTCCCACTTCTGCTTCATTTCTCCTCCTTGTCCTTTTCTTCTTCTGTTTCTGACATAGAGTCTTCGTATTCCAGGCTGGCATCAGACTTTTATTAGTTCGTCGCCCCCGCCAGTCCGTGTGCTTCCCAAAGGCTTAATTACAGGGTCTGAACACTGAACAGCACATTTTTTACTTCTATTTACTGTGTGCATGTTTGGGTATGCAGGGAGGTCTTTTCTCCTTCCACCTGTAGGTCCCCAAGAATCCTGTTAAACAATCTCCCTGCCCTTAGGACATTTTAATTCCTTTTTCTTTTTTAAGGCTGAAACTTACACTCTCTTTTCTTTCTTTTGAGACAAGGTATCATTATGTAAAGTAAGTTGGCCTCAAACTGGCCACCTGTCTTTGCCTCCTGAATGCTGGGATTGAAGGTGTGAGCTACACATTCATTTTGAAGATTTATTATTTGTTTATGTGTATGTGTGGGGTGGTATAGGACCCTGCAGAGGCCAAAGGATACCCTGGAAATTGTAAGCTGATCTATGTGGATGCTTGGATCCAAACTTGGGTCTTCTGGAAGTGTTCTTAACTGATAGACCATGTCTCCAGTGTCAGATAATAAAAATTTCTGTTTGCTTGATACATTGGGCAATCCTCCCCTCCGCCATCTTGATCTGTAGTGGCACTATAGCCAGCAATGGGAAAGTGGCATTAAAAAATATCTAAGCCAAGTGTGGTGGCACATGCCTTCAGTCCCAGCACTTGAGTGGCAGAGGAAGGAGGATCTCTTGAGTTCAAGGCTATTTTGGTTTTACATAATGAGTTTCAGCACAACCAGAACTAAATAGAGAGACCTTGTCTATCTCAAAAACTTACTTATTTTATGTGTGTGAGTGATTTGCCTGTATGCAAACCAGGCCCTCAGAGGGATCCCCTGGGAGTGGAGTTGACTGTGTGAGCTGTTAGGTGGGTGCTGGACCTTGAACCCAGCTCCTCTGGAAGAGCAGTCAGCACTCTTAACCACTGAGCCATCTCTGCAGTCCTCAGAGTTACATTGTTTTGTTATTGTATCCCAAATGCTCTCCAATTCTGGGAATCAAATTCACAGAATCTAGAAAATATTCTGTGGGTCTGCAAATGCGCCAGTATAGAGGGAGAATGCTGTTGCCCTAGACAGTAGCTCTTGTATCACTCACAGTTGTGTTGAACTGATAACAGTGCTTTCTAGGAACCCTGAGCTGTACCCTTTTCTCTGCTAATTTCAGTTAGGAAAACTCATTTTAAATGCAACATGGATAAGTGCTAAACCTCTTGCTGTGTGTCTAAAAAATTTTCATATTTTCAGTATAAAAATTGTAGGCAGTAAAATGTCAGTCAGTGAGCAAGGGCTTTGTGCATAGGTTCTTGAGATTAAACTTAGGCTGTCAAACTTCTTCGGCTGGTTCATTTATCTGCTGACCCATGTCCCTGGCCCTCTTTTTACTTTATTTGAAGATAGTTGTCCATGCTGGCAGCGAACTCACTCTGTAGCCAGGGGAGGCCTTAAAGTTGGAATCTGCTTGCTTCAGCCTAGTAAGTAGCTGGGTTTACAGGCCTACACCACTGAACCTGGCTTTCCCTGTGCTTCCCAAAGTGATCCTTTATTTGCCTCAAGAGTCCTTGAATTACAGACTGATCCACTACACCTTAGCTCTAGGTTGTTTTAATGTTTGGTGCTAGGGATTAAACTTGGCCTTGCACACAGTGCTCATTCTTTCCTGAGCTAGACCCTTCCCTTTCAGGGGAGAGCTGCTTTTTTTTTTTTTGTTGTTGTTGTTGTTGCTGTGGTAAAACACTTACCAAAACAACTTGGGAGCCGGATAATGGGCGCACGCCTTTGATTCCAGCATTTGGGAGGCACAGTGGTGGATCTCTGTGAGTTCGAGACCAGCCTGGCCTACAAAGCTAGTTTCAGGACACCTAGGGCTACACAGGGAAACCCTGTCTCAAAACCAAACCCCCCTTTCCCCCCAAAAAAAAGCACCTTGGGGAAGAAGAAAAGTTTATTTGACTTACAGGTAGACGTCTATCACTGAGGGAAGCCAAGGCAGGAAACTGACCGCAGAAGCAGAAGCCATGCAGGAAGGCTTCTTACTGGTTTGTTTCTAGGCTTACATTCAGGTACCTTTCTTACACAGGCCGGGCCCACCTGCTCACAGTAGGCCACACCCTCTTACATCAATTAGCAATCAAGAAAATGCATCACAGTCATGCTCACAGGGCTCTAATGGGGCATTTGCTCAATTGAAGTTCCCTCTTCCCTGGTGTGTTAGGTTGATACCACAGCTGGGTGGCTTGTGCCTGGAATCCCATCCCTGGGAGATGGAGGCAGGAGGCTCTCAAGTTTGTAGCCTTGGCTACATTGGGAGCTCTTGTCTCCAAACCTAATTAAGCTAACCAATTGAAATTAGGGGTATACAAGGTAAGTATATATTATTTTAAAATTAAAAACCAAGGACTGAGGAGATAACTCATTTGGTAAAGTACTTGTGCAAGCTTAAGGATTTGAGTTTGAGCCCAAGATCCATGATGAACAGGCATGATGGCAGGCACTTCTAATCCCAGCACGGGGGATGTGGAGACCTGAGTATCTCATGGGCTTGCTGGTCCAGACTCTGGCTCTGAAATAAAACAAAAAACATAAAAAAACAAGGTGGTACCTGAGGAAGACAAAGTTTCCTCCACAAATGTGTGTCCATACAAGCACATCTACATGCACATACACACACAATTTTTCTTTCTTGTACTGGGTCTTGTTCATCTATGGCAAGGGTTTTATTTAGTTATAAACATAGCCATCCCCTACCTGCTTTTTGAAATAAAGTTTCAAATTGCCTGGGTTGGCATTGAACTCCTGGCCTCCATTCACCTTTCCTCTCAGTCTTATTTGTAGCTTTGAATTTAATTATGTGGATGACCATGACTCTACAAGATCTTAAAAATTATGTATGTGTGACTGAGTTTCTGTGCAGCCCAGAATGACCTTGACCATTTTCTAACCCTTGGTTTATTCAGCAATGCAAATCAATCCCAGGGCTTCATGCATGCTAGACAAGCACTCTGCAGACTGAGCTACATCTCCAGCCCTCTTCAATATTTTAAATGAGAATGTGTTTAACATGGAGATATGACTTCTTTTGTACACTGATGAGTACTGCCAACATTTCTAGCAAGGCATATGTATCTTCCTGATTCTTGCAGGCTTGCAATTATTAACTGATACTTTGTGTCTGGGAGCCAGATAAGGGACTGAAAAAGTAATGTTCTTGAGACTATAGGTATGTGGAGTTTTGTTATCTCGTAACCTTTATTGAGTGAAGATGGTGATGGAGGGTTTATTATGGTCACTGTATTTAGGTTTCAGCAATTCTGTGATAAGTTCTATGGTAAGTATCATCTTTGACTGACATTATCAGGGAGTAAATGACTTTCCAAAATGTGCTGGTCGCTGCAGGGAGGGACAGGGAATTTGGAGGGGGTGGAATGGTTGAGTCACCTTTTGCTCTGAACTGTGGTATTGGAGCAGTACAGTGTCTTAATGAAAACACTTCTGTTTGCTCTGCAGGCTTACAGCGGGACTCCCCTAACAGAAGAAAAGGAGAAGATAGTCTGGGTCAGGTTTGAGAACGCAGATCTGAACGGTATGACTGACTAACTTCTCTGGGATGTGTGTGTTAAGTGCTTTTTTTTTTTTTTTTTTTTTTTTGGGTTGACCTTATTTTAGAAAGAGAGCCCCAATTCAGTCAGGCTATTTTGTGTTTACTAACTTTTCTGTTTTGAAGATAAATCCACTTTTACCTGGGAGTGATAATGTATGCTTATAATCCCAGTGTCCATGAGGCTGAGGCAGGAGGATCTTGAGTTGGAGGTGAGACAGAGGCACATACCAAGACTTGTCCAGTAACTAAACAGCCATAGCTGTGACCATTGGTGTCTCTATTCTCTCTGGCTTATACTCAGAAGAGAAATTTCTGGATTCCCTATGGTAACTCCAGTCCTAATTTTCTGAGGAACTAAGCCTTTGCAATAGTGCTTGTACTACAACAGGTTCCCAGTGACAATGCACAGGGCATTTTGTTGGTTCTGGGGGATTAAACCTGCTGGCATTAGGCAAGTGAGGCACACTGCCACTTAACTGCCCCATATTCCCAGTACTGTTTTATACTGTCAGAGTCCTGCACACTGTAGCAATCTATTCCTTTTCTTTGATACTGGTATTCTATCCTTTCTTTCTACTACACTAGGACTATTATTGTCCCTTTGCTGAGCATTTGTTTTGTTTCCATCTTTTGGCTGTATACAAATGCTACTATGAACCAATCTGTGCTCCCCACCCACCCCATCCCCCAAAGCTAGCCAAAAAAGAAAAGCAGGCTGGGGATATAGCTCAGCATTCACACACTTGCCTAGCCCACAATACTACAAAGAACAAAACAAAATAAAACTTTTTTTTTTTTGCTTTGGAGATAAAGTGTCACTGTGTAGCTGCATTGGCTTTGACGTTACTATGTAGCTTAGGTTGGCTTTGGTGATCTTTTTTGCTTCAGCCTCCTACTTGCTGGGGTTACAGGCCAGTGATACCACATGGCCTGTGACCTTTTCTTTAAACATTCAAAGAAATGTTTGTTTTTATTCATTATGTGTCTATTTATGGTTATGTGCAAATGTTCCCGGAAGTCAGAGGCCTTGGCTGTTCTGGAGGTGGAATGATAGACTGTTGTCAGCCACTTGGTGTGGGTGCTGGGAACTGAACTTTGGAAGAGCAGCAAGTGTTCCTAATTACTGAGCCATCTTTCTGGATCCCTGTTTTTATTGTTATATCTAAATGTTTGCATCATTTGGGGTAAATAAGTAGTTTTCTTGGTTCATACTTTGTTTCTTTGTGAATCCTAATACAGATACATCACGGAATCTAGAATTTCATGAACTGCATAGCACTGGAAATGAGCCCCCTCTGCTGGTTATGATCGGCTACAGTGATGGAATGCAAGTCTGGGGCATCCCTGTGAGTATACACAAAGGGTACCTTGTTGTCCAGCATAAACTCTGTGATATGTTTATACATTATTAAGGCCTCGTGGAGAGTCATGGGAATGAGAGGCAAGTGGCAAACAGGTCCTCTAAAGGACAAGTAGAGATGAGCAGGAGTTGTGGGACTCATGGGTTATGCATGTTGTCAGTTTTATTTAGGGTAATACCATTAAATGGGGGTTGTTTTTGTGCTTTCTAATTTACACAAGAGTAAGCTGAGAGTAGGTGGACTTTTCTTTCCCACCCGCTAGTTCACATGGAGACTTATTAATTATAAATGCTCTGCCAGTAGCTCAGGCTTATTACTAGCTAACTCTTACATTTTAAATTAACCCATATTTCTTAACTGCCCTCTACCATGTGGCAGGTACCTTCTTTCAACACAACACATTCATCTTTCTTTTCTCTGTGTATCTCCAGACTCCCCAGACTCTTCCCTTCTTCTTCCCAGTGTCCTTAGTCTGGTTTTCCCACCTTATCTTATCCTGTCCAACTATTGGCCAGTCACTTTCTTTATTAAACTAATCACAGTGTAATTTACACAGTGTACAAAAGGGTAATTCTATAGTACAATATATCAATTGTTTTGTGTGTGTTAAACATTCACATGGGGAGCTGGGAGGGTGAGCCAAATGGGGGTGGTGATGGCACAAGCCTTTAATCCTAGCACTCGGGAGGCAGAGGAAGGCAGATCTCTGTGAGTTCAAGACCAAAGCTAATTCTAGGACAGCCAGGGCTACACAGGGAGACCCTGTCTCAAAAAACCAAAACCAAATCAAACCAAACAAACAAAATACCTCCTCACAGCCCCCAAAAAGCATTCAACTGGACCAACAGGATGGCTCGATAAGTAGGTAAAGCTGTTTGTTGCTAAGCCTCACAAGTTGAGTTTAGCTCCTCACCCCCCAATTCCTATAGAAGCAGAGAACTAACTCTTGCAAATTGTCCTCTTTTGACAGTTTCACAATGTCACATGCACAGGCTAGCCTACATACATACACAAATAAAAAAGTAAATTCAGTTTAAAAAAGAGCCTAGCATATTGGTCTGTGCCTTTAATCACAAAGGCAGGAGGATCTCTGGGTTAAGGTTAGCCATGGCTACACAGAGAGACCCTGTCTCAAATATCTATATGAATATTTCAGAAATAGAAATCTGATTCCCTGGAGGTAGGAGAAGTAGAAGACAGTGACAGAAGGGGTAAGTTTTTACCCTTTTGTACCCCTTGAATTTTGCAGTCAAATGCTCTGCTACTGGGCTATACCTCCTTTACCCCTTGAATTTTGTACCAGATGAATTATAATAACACTTTTAGGGGCTGGAGAGATGGCTCAGCTGTTAGGAGCACTGGCTGCTCTTCCAGAGGACTGGGGTTCAATTCTCAGCACCCACAGGGCATCTCACAGCTGTCTGTAACTCCAGTTCCAGGGAACCTGACACTCTTTTGGCCTCTGAGAGGACCAGGCATGTATGTGATGCACAGACATACATATATGAAAGCAAATACACATGTAAAATAAAATTCATTAAAAAATTTAAATTAAGCCAGGTGGTGCTGGCCCTCTGGGGGTCATTTCTGAGAGTTTGAGGCCAGCCTGATCTACAAAATGAGTTTCAGGACAGCCAGTGCAGTTACACAGAGAAACCCTGTCTAGAAAAACATAAAAATGACTTTTATTTATTTCATGAGTTATTCTTGCAGTTGGATTTGTTGCTGTGAGGTTTGCCGTTTCGTTTGTAATGGCATTGCTCAGGGGTTCTTTTATGGACTTTAACAGCTGCATTATCTGTTATTCTGATTTGTCCGTGAGCATTGTTTCCTAATACAAATACTTTAAATGTTCATAATTTTGACATTACATTGTATACTATGGGGCCAGATGCTACAGGCTTGCAATCCCAGTTACATAACAGGTTGAGGCAGGATAATGATAAATTCAGGGCCTGTCTAGGCAACTTAGTGGGATGCTGTCTCAAAAAAACAACAAAATGGATGTAATGAACTTAAACATACATATGCATATGTCTGTCTGTCTGTCTATGACTTTGGTACTTTAAGATGGCCCTTGCTATCTATGTCTGATGTCTTGGCAATCTCTTTGAGGCTCCATCTGTCTTTTTTTTGAGTTCTAGAATCACAAAAGCTATATTTTATTTTTGAGTATTTGTGTAGAGACACTCCCTCCCACTTTTTTTTTCTTTCTGTTTTTGGAGACAGGGTTTCTCTGTAGTTTTGGAGGCTATCTTAGAACTCACTTTGTAGACCAGGCTGGCTTGGAACTCACAGAGATCCGTGCTGAGATTAAAGATATGCACCACCACCACCTGGCTCTCCCTCCTACCTTTGAAATAGGATATTACTGTGTACTTTAGGTTGGCTTTGAACTCACAGCTGCTTGAGTACTCCAATCATAAATGTGTAACACGTTGATTGACTTGCTTTGGTGGGTAAATTCCATATAGTGGAGTTGCTGACACAAAGATGTTGAGTGCATTTATGGTTTTAGACTTTTGGTGCTTGACTGTGTGGGTGAGTATCTTAAGAAGCCTGAAGAGGGTGTGTTGGATCCTCTGGAACTGGAGTTAGAGGTGGTTGTAAGCCCAGGTGGGTGCTGGTATTCAAAATCCTAGAAGAGCAGCAAATAGCAAGTCCCCTTAACCTCTGAGCTGTCTCTCCAGCCCTGTAAGGTAACATGTATGTATGTATGTATGTATGTATGTATGTGTGTATGTGTGTATGTGTGTATGTGTGTATGTTAGCTTTTTGTGGTGCTGAGGATTGTATCTAGGTTGTGTGGTAGGCAACAATACATCTCCAGTCCCCTAGCCCCTTTTCTTTTCATATGCATGATGATCTTTAGGGTGGTGATAATCGTCTCTGTAATGTAGGCTGGAAAATAGACACATAAGGTAAGATGAGAAGTGGCTCAGTACTACAGAGCAAGACTTGATCCTCAGTCCCCAAGTGGCTGTATGTCACCTACAGATGGAGTTTGGAAGGGTGCTTGGATTAAAGGGCCAGACATTTTAATTTTAACTTTGTTTTTGTTATTGTTCCTAGGGTAAGATCTTAATGAAAACATTCATTAGCAATATCCTACTTCAGATTTACTGGAAGTTGGGATACTCTAGAGCTGTAGTTCTCAACCTGTGGGTTTTGACCCATTTGGGGATTGGAAATCAGATAGCTGCATATCAGATATTTACATTACAACTTATAATTAGCAAGATTACAGTTATGAAATAGCAACAAAAATGTTATGGTTGGGGGGATTACCACAACATGAAGAACATTATCAAAGGGTTGAGGCATTTGGAAGGCTGAGAACCACTGCTCTACAGAATAAAATTTGGCCTAAATGACATTATAACAAAAGCAATAATTGTATTACTTTAACATTTTGAGTTGAAAAATTTGTTTATGGGCCAGCAAGATGGCTCATCAGGTAAAAGTGCTTGCTGCTAAGCCTGACAACCTGAGTTCATGGTGGAAGGAAAGAACCAACTCACACAAGTTATCCTCTGACCTTCACACAAGTGCCCAACAAATAAATCAATAAATGTACTAAAAATTTCACAAATTGTTTATGCACTTGTTGCTTCATTCTGGTCATAGGACTGTCATAGCACACACATAGGGTTGAAGCTGTATTTTGTGGCTGGAGAATGCTGCTGGCTTCCAGGATCAAGTAGTTTTTTCTCTTTTACTCATCCCCACCCCTAAATAATGAGAACAAATCCTAGGGCCTTACTCACATGGGACACAAGTGTTCCGATTTGCAGGCGGCTCCTCTCTTGGCTTCAATTCATGTTTTCAAGGCTTTGCCTTGTTTTGTAATCTATCAAGAGGAAGCTCGAAGGTGAATTGAGGGAGTGGTTTCATTAGTGTAACTTTTCTGTATTAATAGGGAAGTCACATGCTGTTTGTTTACAGGCAGGTTGTATGGAGTGGCTTTCAGAGGCCGTTGCAGCTGGCTTAGGGGTGTTGACTGGATGGAGCACATTCTTGTGACTGGTCAGGTGGCTCTGTCCGCCTACTTGTTTGGTGATAATTAGAGGCATCCCTTTGAATCGTTTCAAAGGTGGCTTGTATCATCTCAGAAGATCTTAGAAGGATCTACTTTCCCTCCAATTGTATTTGCAGAGGCTGGAGTAATCTTCTCTTGCTGGCCTGGCCCCTGACAAGCTGATCACTGTAGGCAGAGGGAGAAGTGAGCTCACTGTATTCTTTGGTTTGCTTTTGGAGTTGTTTGGGTCCTTCTAGGACATTATGCCAGGTAACATTTTCTGTGAGGTCACATCACTCTGATTTAGATGAGAAGGTCACTCTGCTTGTGAGTGTGGGTCTGTGTTGTCAGTCTGGCTTGGCCTGATCTCAGATCATGACAGTAATTTAGTTCTTATTTTATTTGTAAACTTTTTCTTTTCTCTTTTTCTTTCTTTCTTTCTTTCTTTCTTTTTTTTTTTTTTTTTTGATGGTATGGAGATTGATGAGGCCCCTGTCTCTGAGGCAGACACTCTTTTGGTGAGCTACTGTGAAAGGCTGGGGTGGACTACATCACCTCAGCATGTACCCAGAAGGCATTTGTTCAGAAATCCTAGCCTAGACAGTGGGGAGCTTCTGCTGGTCAATAAATGGACTTTCACAGATCTTAGCTGATGGCAGGTCACAATGCTTTTAAAATATCCAGTCCATGGGTCACTGCTTCTTTTTGGGGGGTGCAGGTAGGGGGAGAGTGTTTTGAGACAGGGTTTTGTTTGTAACAGCCCTAGCTGTCTTAGAACTAGCTCTGTAGACCAGGCTGGCCACGAACTCACAGAGATCTGCCTGTCTCTGCCTCCTGAGTGCTGGGGGATTAAAGGCGAGCGCCACCAATGCCTGGTGGGTCACTGCTGTTTTTGTGCACACATCACTATCACTACTGTTTGGGCTTTTGATTTTTGATTTTTGACTTTTTTTTTTTTTTTTTTTTT